CCCCAAAACCCCAAAACCCCATGAGGATTTAGGAGACAGTGGTTTGGAAAAAGGGAATCATGAAATCAAATATTATTAAATTTTATCAGTCTTTCATTCGAGAATAAGACCGTATCTCTGATTAATTCTCAGATTAGTCATTGGAATTCTTTGAACATATCTCTCTCTTGGGATCTCTTGTTAAAATTATCCTTAGGCCTTTAGATTTATCAATTTTATCGGTGGGTTTTATTTTTATATACTTTGCTTTTGCTATTAATTACCTTCAATCATCCTCAGGCTTTTATTATATTAAATCTTCTCATCTAGCATGGACCATTTATCTAGAGATTTACTCAAGTCTTGCATCATAAGTCTTTTATAGTGAACTCTTGACTTGATCTTAGGGGATATCCTATCTGTAAAAATAGAAGGTCTTTATTCGTGGAAAAGAGACTACTACTGAGGTGTCTATTTATCTCTTGCATTAAGTGAATGCTCACCTAAATTTCTGTTAGACTTGATGTTAAGTTGCAACAAGTCTGCGATAGTTTTGTTCCCCTTTTTAAGTATTTTCAGCTTCTCACCCAAAATGTTGTCTATATTGTTTGATATACTATTCAACCTTTCAGATTATAGTAGTCCCTCTTAGAAGTACCTGAAATCTTCTAGTTAGTTGTTCATCTTCTCATTCGAATTTTAATTTGTCAAAGAGAATATCTATGTTAAAATTTTAAATTATTTCAAAAGCATTACCTTTATTTTCCTTGCTCTTTTAGGTTAGTTTTGCTTAACCAACTAAGGCATAATGTTCAAATCAAAGTTAAGTGATTAGCCATTAAATTCATATTCCTAGGCACTAGGCATTTAATTGAAAGGACTCATTAGATCATTTTGATTTGTGATAGAATTTCTAGCGCTAGCAAAAGCTGTGCTAGGATTAATTCTAATTTTCCCAACGCTTATTGAAGGAATGTGATGTATTTTTTTACTTAATTCCATGTCACTCTTATTTTATGTTACAGCCATAGACAATTTACTAATCAATTTTTTTGCTTTTAATTTGCCTCTTTCCTAAGCTTGATTGACAATATCTTCAATTTGTTTTTAAGGGAACATAGCTTATAGCTTTTCTTTGTAATTTTCCTCTTTAGCTCTCTCCTCTTACTTTTCTCGTATTGCTTCACGATTAATTTGATGATTTTTAAAGAAAAATCCAGAAGATAAGGTGAAATTCTCAATTTAAGGTGGACTAAAAGGAGTGCTTGAACTTGAAACAGTGTGCAAATTCTGGTCTTCTTCTTTCTCAGTTATCACAATCTCCTTTGGTGATTTAAAATTATCTACGAAAAGAATTAAATTAAAATGAAATGCTTACCCATAATCTTAAAAGGCTAGATAAAACCTTAATTGTTTAGATTTTAACTGCTAAATTTACTTTATCTAGTAGTCAATTGCTTTTTAAGTTTGGGGCTGAAAGGGTTCTTAATGCCTCTTCTTAACCTCAGCTTTAAATAATTTGGTTAACTGTTTCCTCCATCCTCAATCCTTCCTTAGTACTCTTTAAATAATCGTAGAAAATTATTCATATCCTTTCTTGCAATTTCCTTCTGATTAACTTTAATGGGATCTGAAATCTGATCCAATATTTATTTCCTCTTAGAAAGTTTGTGCAAGTGCTAAAGCATATCTTCAAAAGCAAATGGTAGATACTGCCCGTATGTACAATCAATGAGATCATCAGCAGTTTTTGCTTTGACTATTTCATTTTAGAGGTCTTTTCTTACATTTCTCATTATATTACGGAACTCTATAAGGTTAGAAATTTAGGTAAATATTAATTTTCATTCCTAAAGTATAAGAATTCGCTAGTCTTTTAATTTTTGTTTAATGAATTACTTACAATCTTTGCATTTGTCGTTAAAGAGAAACTCTTTGAATTCCTGGACACTTAAACTCCCAGAGTTATCGGCGTCTAATAACTTGAAGAACTCTTTTGTGTTATTCTTCCCAAGCTTTATACCGTTTGTTAGAAATAACTGATTGATCTCATCTAGCTCCAACAGTCCTGACTAGTCCTCATCAAATCTTTTGAAAATTTGCTGGATGTCTTTGTTTCTCTTCACCTCATTCATAGTCTATAATGACTCCGTCTTTGCTGAATTCTAATAACGTATCTTCAGCCATCTAATCGTCTCACTTGATTTGAGAGTCCTCTCGCTTATTGGGTTATTTATGGGTGTAGGCACCTCTTCTTCAATAATCTTTTATGCTTATGAGTCTGAACGTCTAAATGCTTGTAAATCAGTAAATTACTGAGAGTTTCTATGTGTTCCATCAGTTACATTTTCATCATTCGAGAGGAGAATACTGTACTTTTTGCCAAATTAACTCGCTTTCCTGCTAGCTGTATTATTCCTAGGTGTTCCAGTTTGCAATTATTTTACTTCCATTTTAGTCTTTGGTAATTTAATAAGTTTCGAAATTGTGAAATACTTAATAAATTATAGTCAGTTTAAAAATATCAAATTTATTAATATAATCATAGGATAAAGCCAAATCCCTTTTTTCAAAAGCAAATAATCAGCACTGCTTTTACTTTCGCCTCTAGTCTCACTATTACTACTCTTCCCACTCTAAGTAAGAGTTTTTATTATATTTTCATAACTCAAAGGATAGTTTTTCTGCATACAACTGAAAATATAATCATCATTAGATTGAGACCATCTTTCAAACTTAAGTTTCCAATTTACAGCTTGCTTGAAGTTTTCACTGTCTCCAATGCCACATTCAAGTTAGGCTTCCATGCTGTTTCTGTCAAGTGTGTGGCATCTTGAGTTTTGATTTACAATTTTGAAATATTTAATGTATTAATCAGTTTCCCATTGCCCTGGTCTTGGACAATAACCTGTAGAATTATCAAGAGAACACTCACATAAACCTTGGAAATATTCAGTTGTTGAGCCATCATAATAGTATTTGCAATAATTATTTGAAAGTGAGGCTGTACATTAGTATGGCGAAGTTTAATTGCTATAGATGTCGGAAGAAATCACAGTAAGATCAACACATTAGGCCGTTGTTCCGCCGTCGGAATTCTTGGCCCAACCAGACTTACAAAATTAGCCATTATAAATGGCATCTTAGAGGCTATCACCAAAAATATTACTCCAACCAAATTAAGTTCCAGTTGTTTAACTGTACTTTTCAAGGCATTTCCTGTTATCAGAACTTACATCCGAAGAGAACTTATACCAGCAGAAATTCTTTGGGTGGCAGTCGAAATCTCTTGAACATGGATCACCATGAAGACCATATGATTAGCAAGTCGTTTGATAAGGCCATTTTGAAACAGCTTTGCAAACAAGCTCTACATCACAGTCCTCATGAGAAGCACAAGATTCACCTTGTTATTAGCCTCAGCAATAGCTGTCTCTACAATGTCCTGACTTGCACTCATAATCTTCTCTGCATTTTCTTCCATTATTTAAGTTTTGTCTATAAGAGTCAACACTAACACAATATGCAGTAGTATATTTGTTTGGCATTGCTGAAAGTGATGGTAATCCACTTGAGTGATCTTATTTTTATGTGTCGTACCAAGCATAATTTCCATCATTAATATTGCATCTCTGATTGCTTTAACATGAATAGAATTCAATTTTAGAGACTGGACTGTCACCACTATGGATGAAGCAAGTTCCGTCAAAGAAATTAAAAGCACAAGTTAAGTCTGGGCACTCAAGACAAGTTATTGTTGACAAAGAAGCAAAAAGTATAAATAGTCTTAAGTACATTTTTTTCATTTATTATTATTTTAATCTAACACAAATTCCTTGTAGATGGGGTTTTGGGGTTTTGGGGGACTGC